CAAAGACCCCTGCCGATTGAGAAAGCCGTCTTTTCCTTGTCCTCAGAACGGACCTTAAGTTGCCAGTATCCGCTCTTTAAATCCAATGTAGAAAACCATGAGTTACCTGAGAGTTGATCTAAAATATCGTCGATTCTAGGAAGAGGGTATGAATCCTTTACCGTCACATTATTTAGTTTCCGATAATCGACGCAAAATCTTATACCGCCGTCCTTCTTTTTGACCATGACGGCTGGAGAAATCCATGGGCTTTGCGATTCCTCTATGACTCCTTGTTCCTTCATATCCTCAATAATTTTATCTACTTCCTTCCTTAAATAAATAGAAATTCGACGAGGTACCTGTTTAATGGGGGGAGAGTCTTTTATGTTAATAACATGTTCTACAACACTACAATTGCCAGCCACAATTCTTTCGGAAAACACATCAGAGAAATTATTTAAAAAGTTTGCAAAAATTTCTTTTTCCAGTTCCTTCAAATCTAGGGAATCATTTCTAAAAAGATTCTTCAAAATAGTCGGAACTCTATAAGAATTTTCAATTCGAGAACAACCAACAATTCTATTTTCATTCGGGTTTAGTTCATTAAATTCATGATCAAAAATATCTTGCAAATTAATTTTTGTAAGAAAATCTACTCCCAAAATACAATCGTCATTTATGGCGGCAACGAACAGAGGAAATATAATTAAATGCTTCCCAATCTCTATTTTTACCTCTACTTGGAATTCAATCGAAACTTTTTCTCCCGTCGGATACCTTAAATTACAATTCTCGATTTTAGTCCTTTCAGTATACTTATCTACTAAGTTTTTACTTAAAATAGAAACATCGGAGCCCGTGTCTATTTTCAAAGAACAATCTCTTCCGTTTATTCTACCATTATAATAGAAATTACTTTGCCTAACCCTAGCGACACCAAAATCGACGAAACGATTCACCGTCGGGGCTTTTTGGGAGAAAGTTGAGCTCCCCCCGCGTAGCTCAACTAAACCGCGTTTCCCTTTTCCTCCGGGCATTCCGAACGGAAATGCCCTGTCTTCCCACACGTCCAGCATTCTCTATTCTTTGAGGAGTTTCCCCGCCATCTCCCCCTCGAAGAATTTTTCTCATCGTGCCTTTTCCGCGTGTCGTTTTTTCTCTAATTTCGCTTTTTCCCTCAATATCTTTCCGCGCGCCGTTCCTCTCCCCCTTTTGATAAGAAGTCGCGCCCGTTTTCCCGAAATTTTCCCTTTTTTTTTCAAAATTTTCTCCCTGTATAATTTTTACGGTTTTCGCTCTCCCAACGGCCAAATTCAAAGAGGTTATCCCTTCTAATTGGAGGATCCTCCTCAAGAAACCGTCGTGGAGTGCGGAAATGAATTGCGCGCACGCGATTTTGTCCCTTACCGCGTAGGAGCATTCGGGATAAGCAAGTCGCGATAACCTTTCCAACTCGGCGCCAAAAGAAGCGAGATCCTCCCCGAATTTTTGTTTCCGATTAGTAAATAAAGAGTAGTAATTTTGTGTAAGATTTCCTTCCCCGAAAAGCAATTCCAATTTTGATTTTAATTCGGCAAAAGTGAGGTTATTGAAATTTTCAATGTTCTCCAAAACCGTCCGCGCCTTTCCCCTTAGATTCGCAGCCAAGGCAACGGTCCTTGTGGATTCATCCCAATTGTTCGCGCGCGTGATCAAGAGAAACTGGGAGAGGAACTCCCGCAGCGGAACTTTCCCGTCATACGTGTCCGGTTTTAATTTTAAACCCATCCCCGCGCAAATATCTCTGCAAGCTCTGTTATTGGAAGGACTTAGCTCGTTTTCCTCCCGCGAAGCGATTCTCTGCTCAAGCCGACGAAGTTCCTCATCGCGCTGCTGCAGCAGAGCTTCGAGTCGTGCCCGCTCCTGCTCCCGTTGTTCTCGCAGCTCCCGGATCTCCCGCAGCGCGGTTTGCAGAACATTTTCTTCCAACGGAGCCTCCGGATTCGTTGATGGTTGACGCGGAGTCTGCGAGCGGGTAACTCTCGGCGAATGTTGTGTAGTCATTTTCCCCGGTCCTCCGTAGCTCGCCGTATCAGCTCGTTGCTAGTCGGCACGTTCAGATCCCGGACGAGCCCCCAAAATGTCGCGTCCGCGGCGGCGATTTTGAGAAAGATCGTACGCGCGCGTGACACAACCGATCAGCGCTCGCAAACCTCGCGGTTTCCGCGCACTCGTAAATGACAACACGGTTTAAAAGAACATGAGAACTTTAATGAACAACACATAGAAATGCACAACACAGAGAACAGAACGTTAAGAACGATAAAACCGCGGTACGTCCGTTCAGCCTGATAGCTGGGAGTCGACTCTCTGTCTTGTTTTGTCTTGTCAATATTCCTCTTGACAACGAGATAGAAGACGATCCTCCGCCGAACGTCACGGGTGACCAATTATTCACAGGGAAGGAACACGGGGTCGTAACAATATATATATATATATATATATATATATATATATAATATATTATATACAGAGTGTACCACCTAGAAGTGTATGTGGCCATCCCCTTTTATTTTTTAAATTAAAAGAGATGGACCATAACAAATATATATGAAATTAAATGGCTTTACTTGGCTGAACTTTATTGTGAGCATAGTGGTTGATTACAAAATTTATCTGTATTAAAGAACGGAGAGATATGTATAATTTTTTTATAATAATGTAGATATTTTGTAGGTATTTTGATATAATAAAAATTGTAGCGCTGTTTGAAACGAATATAACGATGCATGATTAATGTAAATATTTTACATATTATACGAGATTTTCCGGCTTGAAATATCGCGGGCGACGTCCACCATTTCATATTCGGCCCTGCGATATAGCCAACTTCTGACTCGTGCATTAGAGTTGACATATGTCATGTTGTCATTTAATCATGATACTCAGTCAGAAGTTGGCTATATCGCAGGGCCGAAAATGAAATGGTGGACGTTACCCGCGATATTTCAAGCCGGAAAATCTCGTATAATATGTAAAATATTTACATTAAATCATGCATCGTTATATTCGTTTCAAACAGCGCTACAACTTTTATTATATCAAAATATCTACGTTATTATAAAAAAATTATACATATCTCTCCGTTCTTTAATACAGATAAATTTTGTAATCAACCACTATGCTCACAATAAAGTTCAGTTAAAGCCATTTAATTTCATATATATTTGTTATGGTCTATCTCTTTTAGTTTAAAAGATAAAAGGGGGTGGCCACTTCTAGTTGGTACACCCTGTATATATATTGTATATATAATTTTAATGCACACATATGCATATTTCACAAACAAAATAAAAAAGTCATATTAATATTTTACGAATACATTATTACGTGCAGATAGTACACATGATTATATTGCACACTTAATATAAGACTAATATATTATAAAAGATAATTATATAATATTTTGATTGTAGTATCATTAATGATCTTGATTTTGACAAAAATTTTGTTTAAATTACAATTCTAAGGCTTCCGATTAGACTTCCATAATCTTCAAGAAATTTTAGCCGGTGCTTATAACTCTCACTTAATCATAAGAAAATTATTAACATAAAGAAAAGTGTACATGTAAAATATGTGGAATATAATTATAATTATAAATCTCTCATATAATTATGAATCTAGTTTTACATTGAAAACATTAGGCGATATAAAATTGATTTCTATTCACTTTTTGTGAATAGTTGCCAACCTATATGAAATCATACAATTATCCTAGCAAACATGACATCTTAATGATGTATTAAAGACGTATTACATGTCGTTAAAACGTTATTAAGACATTTTTAGATGTCATCATGTTTGCTGGAATAGATCTTATTGCTGAAAGAATCAGTGGATTGTCGACATTATGAAATGAATCTCGTTTCACACATAAAATTTAAAACATGGAATTGTAGAATTATAAATCTTGTCAAATTGAAACAGTATGAAGTGAATATGATTTTTGTGTCGAAAAAGTTGCAAACTATGTATAATTATAAATTTTGTCATATTATCAACACCGAGTGTGATAATATAGGATGAACCTCGCTTTTATAAACAGTTGCAAATCTATATGAAATTATATGATTATAAATTTATATTTTTACTAATTTACTAAATAATTTACTATATAAAAAACAATTAACTTTTAATATGTGTGCGAGATGTATATGTGCAATAAAGTTATGTGTGTAACATGTATGTGCACAATAATGTTGCCATATTGTGTGTTATAATATGAGCTATAATGTTATATACGCAAACATATATTCATATTTTTAATTATTGCATATATACAATAATATTTATAAACGATCAATATTGTTATTAATAAAGCTGTTACAAAACGATATAGACAAACGAAAATCAGGATTGTAAGCAGAGATATTCTTATTGGAATTTAAATAGTGTTTTTTTATAAAAAACACTATTTAAATTTATATATTATGTCAATTTCTTTACTTCATTATTAAATACATATATAGGTAAAACAAGATAATTTAAAGTTTAATGATAAGAATAATTTTTTGTTTGTCACGAATGATTGTTTTTATTATTAAGATATTCAGATATCTTTACTCTAATATTTTACTTTCGGATTTTTTTTACGAGAGAATGGGAGAATTATTGTACAATTAAATTTTGAAGTAAGATTTATTTAATCCCTTAATATCATATTAAGAAAAATTTGTTCATAATTATTTAATCTTTTAATTAATTTATAATTATTTATTTTATTTTAATTTACAATTATTTATTTCAAAAATTAATTTTTTTTTAAACTTGCGCAACTTTAACTTATAACTTTCAAATTTTACACCTTACAAATTTATGCATAACTTACAATTACTTTTTACTGGTCTAGAGGATTTAAATTACACAATTATTTAATTATAATTTTTAGATTAACTATAATAAACAATATGGATCATGCTGAACGAATAAAAGAATATATTGAGGACATGCGAAAGATGGTGCGCCAATTGAAACATATGGAGCAAAAAGCCGAATGGATAAATGCTGAGGAAGCATTATTTCAATTTCCGTTATCCACATATCCACGTATTAGAGAATTGAAGGAAAATATTTTACCATTTTACGCTTTGATTTATCGAGGTTATCAATGGCAACGAAATCGTGGAGTTTGGCTAGATGGTCCATTTGAGTATCTTAATGTACAGGATATTGAGGACAAGATCAATCAATATTTAATCGATTTCACCAAAATCAATAAACAGTACAAGACAAGAATCAAGATGCAAATTGCAATCAATTATCCTTACAGGTTGTTATAATATAACAAAAATTTAAAAATCTTTTTTTACGCATAAATTCTTAAATAATTTAAAATTAATTTTTTCTCATACTAATAAAATACTGATTATACTCATTGCTTTTTGTACATTTAAAATTTTTAATTAAATATTTTTGCTTAACCTTTTTGTATTTCTGACTTTCCTAAAAGAGATGCGTTTTATATGAAAACAATTTTATAGATTTGTTGGGATGCTGATTCTAAATTTATTATCAAAATTTAAATTCAAAATGGCAGCCATAAAAAGCTGAAAATATCGATATATTTAAAATATGAGCTTGGAGTTTATTGTTTTAAATATACATATATTTTTTCTAAATATACACGAACACACGCTCAACTCGTAGTGTTGTTATACTTTTTTTGCAGGGCACATATCTGCCGCAAGATTCTTTCGAATGTTTGTCGCATGCGTCGTCTTATTTTTCGTATACATTAATTACAGATATAAATTATTATAATATTTATCATAATAAAGTTGTAATTATATGTTACGTTCAGAGAAGGATGGGTCGAAGGAAAGGCGTAACACGGATAATTTCCCGAGGTAGGAGATAATTCGCAGGTAGGAGATAAACAATTCGGATCGAACGAACTTTAAGGTTCGAAAAGAGGTAAACGATTCTCTTTGAGTCGCTATTACTCTGTTTCAAACGCTCGTTCGGCGATCCCCTTTTCGATAAAAGAATTTAATCCTTTTTACGCGGGGCAGGACCAAGTGCGATCCCCAATTAGGAATGAGAGTAGAGTAATTAATCAATAGAGAAAATTAATCACAAAAATTTTAATTTATTTATAAAAATAATTTGATTAAGTATAAACATAAAAGGTTAATAGTATTATTTTTTTATAATTAATAGCGCTGTATAAAGTATAATGAGAGTGTGTGAGTGTGTGTGTTTTCTTGCGGGTATTACATAAGTTCGGAGGTCATCTGTCAAACAGAATAAGGCTGACGCTATTTTCATTTTTATTTTCAACTGGAGATTACAATGATTTTTTTCTCTTTTAAATAACAAATCAAAATTAATTGTGGGTGTGTGTATAAGATGAAGGGGAAAAGGAGGATTCCATTAAGAATCAACGTCAGATTTTAAAAATAAAAATATAAACAAAGAAAAGGGAAAAGAAATAATTTAAAAGAAAGAAATAAAATATAAAAAGAAAGAAATAAAATATAAAAATTATAAACAAAGAAAAGGGAAAAGAAATAATTTAAAGATCAGATTATAGTTTTACAATAAAAGACTTTAGTGGTGATTGAGTTGCGAGTCAGTGAATTGACTAATCTGAACGTGCTCATACGCGTGAGGGGGTAAAACACCCTTTTGAGAAAAATTAGTTTGTTCTTTCGAGATTAATATCTCTAAAATTATGAGATAAGAAAAATTTACAAATTAAAAATTAATAATTAGTTTCAAGAGTGCTTTACAATGGCAAAAAAATTTTTTTATTTTTTTAATTTTTCAAAATACCCTACTAAACATTTTTTCTATAATTTTGAAATTTTTTTATCACCAATTGGAAGATTATTTTTTTATGTGAATACAATCATATATATGATATTAAGTTATGTTTCGAAAAATCATTTTCCAGGATTAATTATAAACTTCTCTGTGTGTATAAATATACTATTCGCATCCGTTCATGCGCTCGATTCTTTACGTAACATATTTTGTTTTTATATACGTAATAGAAGATAACTAACATGGAAAGTCATATTTTGATTAGATTCCCATATCTTTGACGTCATAATATGAAAGTAAATTTCAATAGTATTTTTATTTTAGAATATGAGAAAAATAGTTACAAAATTTTCAATAGATATATAACAATAATATTTATATATTTCCACTAATATAATGAATATGTAATTTTGACATTGCACTGAGAAAAATCGTTCGATTGTATCAACAAGACATATGTAATTCTGGAAAATGATTTTTCCAAACTTAACTTAATCATATACGATTGAATTAGTAAAAAATTTAACTGAATTAGTAAAAAAAACTTAACTTAATCGTATACGGTTGAATTAGTAAAAAAATAACCTTTCAATTAATGATAAAGAAATTTCAAAATTATTTAGTGGTAGGGATAGTTTGAAAACTTAAAAAATTTGATAAAACTGTATATTAGCGACGACCTCATCAATTTCGATGACCTTGATATACAGGATGAGGCATCTAAAACAGGCCACCTGAATAACTCTGTTGGTAAGCCGAATACAAAAAAATTGTTCAGACAAAAGTTGTATGGTTTCAAGGGGGACATATGATGGTGTCATTAGTTTAATCTTGAAGAGCCACCCGAAGGTCACGTGAAGATCAGCTCCAACTTTTTAAATGGGACACCTTATATGTTTTTGCATATTCTTGTAGCTCATCTCAAGAGCTTTCCAAAACACTACAATTATGTTAGTTTTCATTAAATACTTTCCAAGTTATGAGGCTTGAAATCATTTTTTAATTTTACATAAACCGTAAAATATCTTGTAAAATATTCATTTTTCGATTATTTTACCTTAATACTTTTATGTACAAAATAATGAGAAGAATCAATTGGTGTAAAGAAAACACATAATTGCTTCGAACAAAAAAATGTAATTGTTAATTGCAAATTACATTTTTTTGTTCAAAGCAATTATGTGTTTTCTTTACACCAATTGATTCTTCTCATTATTTTGTACATAAAAGTATTAAGGTAAAATAATCGAAAAATGAATATTTTACAAGATATTTTACGGTTTATGTAAAATTAAAAAATGATTTCAAGCCTCATAACTTGGAAAGTATTTAATGAAAACTAACATAATTGTAGTGTTTTGGAAAGCTCTTGAGATGAGCTACAAGAATATGCAAAAGCATATAAGGTGTCCCATTTAAAAAGTTGGAGCTGACCTTCACGTGACCTTCGGGTGGCTCTTCAAGATTAAACTAATGACACCATCATATGTCCCCCTTGAAACCATACAACTTTTGTCTGAACAATTTTTTTATATTCGGCTTACCAACGGAGTTATTCAGGTGGCCTGTTTTAGATGCCTCACCCTGTATATATTGTCAAATACATGTCCCTAATTAATTTGTAAAAAATTTTAACTCGTTATTTATTACAAAGTTATTTACAAAATAAGTTCAATTTTCACATAAATTTATTTTGGATAAATCTGCATAAACTGCACTTTCAGCAAAAGACAGCGTTCCCAGGTGTCGAGAGGGCGCTTATCGTATACGTGGCGTCAAATTATCGTATTTGATTTAAAATTATCGTATATTTAGAAATATTAATAAAATAATCATTTATATATTCTTTCTTATATTAGAGATAATCGCAAATAAGTTCGCAATCAATATTAATTGCTCTTAAGTCGATTTAAATCCGTTACTAAAAAATACTAATAAGCTGCGGTCAGGAAAACACTGGAAATAAATCTTTATTTTTAAAAATTTATTTATATTATTTTTATTTAAATTTATAATATATATATGTATAAATATAGAATATATATATTTTTATATATAAATACATACATACACACACACATATATATATATATATATGTATATATATATATATATGTATATATATATATGTATATATTTTTTTATCACAATTGTAACATGTTATTAATTAATAATTAAAAGTATTGTGTTACATATAAATATTATATTTATAGAGATATACATTTTTTATTGTTTAAAAAATACTTGTTATTAATTAGTAATTACTATAATATTACTCATTATATTTTACTCATTATATTAGTAAGTACTATAATATTTAAAGTCAGGTACATACATGTTACATATATGTTTATGTCAGGTATACATACATGTGTATATATGTTCTTCTATTACATTGAAATATTGCGAAAAGTTAAATAAAAATATCACGACTTTCATTCATCTGATATGATGATGTCATCTACATTCAATTCATTTGCATCTTTTGCGTATAAAACACGGTTTGTCATGCAGTCATACTCATCTTCTGATGATTCAAAATTAACACAATCTCCTTGAATTCGTTGTTTTGCTAAAAGGATACCACTCATGGTAGGTGTAACTAGTTTATTTCGTGTTTTAGTTTCAATTAAATTAACTTTACTAAAAATTCTTTCGCAATCTGCGTTTCAATGTGGAATCGAAATAACGTTCAAAACAAATCTTGACAAATTTTTGAAAGTTATACCTTGATCATCTTCATCGCATACTAATAATTTAGAACAGAAAACATCTACTTGATCTTTAATATTTATATAATCAGGAAGGATACCATATTTCATTTGAAGTATGGTAGTTGTCTCCATTCATCATCAATTAATTGATATTGTTGATCTTTCACGATACGTGGTAAAATTTTCATCAATGGTAATAGACTTGGCATTTCTATTGTTTCGAAGCATAGCTTTGTAACGGCAAGGCCGTTACTTAGAAGATTTGCAAACACTCGCTTGCGCCAATTTGGCGCTAAGCGCCGTCGATTGAGCACCTCGACCGAGTCGCGGAATGAGAATCGCGGCCTACCGCAACGCACGACCGTGTGGAGGTATCGCGTGGGGGAAACCAGCCGGGTATAAAAGGCGAATGCTCCGGCAGATCGGTACCTATTCCTGTCATGAATGCAAGATTGTCTCCGCAAGCAACATGCCACGCGTAGTGGAGAGGGTAACGGAAATGTGAGCGTAAGCGTACGTGTGAGCTCGGCGTTTCGGCGAGCTTCGGATAAAAGAAGAGGACAGAATACAGTTTTCTGTCTCTCCTCTTACCAAGCAGGCAACAAAAGCGACGCATGACGCGGGACGCTAAACCCGTTTAACGCCTGACACGTGTAGTTTTGCGAGCCTGAGCCTCCCCATCTCTCGAACTCTGACTCGGGCGAGCCGATCCGCGGCGTCGGGAAAGGTGCTCCGTTACAGCTTTGGGTGAATTGAAATACGATAAATATTGAAGAGTTTGATTACCAAA